TGGGCTGGACAGAGAAGCATTTGAACCTCAGGCTTCCCATCTGAATCGGCTGTGCATACCCAGAGGGTGGGGCTGTGAGGATTTGGATCATCTGGAGCTACACTCACTGGTTAACATCATGGTTTGCTTGAGCTCCACCTGGTCCAGGTGCCCTCTGTCTCCATCCCTTCCCGGGCAGGTGGGTGGATGCGGGATGAACCTGCTGGAGGCTGGTCACCCTCCTGGCAGCCAGCCCTGAAGGAGAACATGCTTGGTTGCTCTGAGCTCCTTTGGACTCTCATGGGGTTCAGGATGCTTCTCGAATGTCCTGTGTCTTAAGCCTTTGGGCTGATTTGGCCTCCCTCCCTGGAATTCCACCCCCCCCCCACCCCCCACACCAGGTAAGCCCAGGACTTGGCTTCAGCTGGCCCTGACCTGTGGCTGCTGCCAGCACGAATGCTTCCAGGTGCTCCCTGCTACCCCTCCATCTGTCTCCCACTCCGTGATAGCACATTTCCCCAGGCACTTCTCTCCTCGTGACCCTCCATGGCTCTCCAAGGCCTCAGGGACAGAAGCAAGCCTGGGGGACCATCAATCAGTTGCCTTCCTCCTTGTTCAGACTGCTCCCTCCCTGCAGTCACTCCATCATAGCAGATCATTCTACCCAGAAGCCCTTCCCAGCTCACTTCCCCCACTCCAGCCTGCCCATCATGTTGTGCCCTATCAGCACTGCCCCTGCAGTGCTTCGGGCTCCTGTGTCTTTGCTCATGCTGTTCCCTTTGCCTGGAACATCATCTCTGTCCTATTTTCATCTGCAGTGCTCTCCTCAGGCTTCTACACTCTCCGTAGAGGACCTTTTCTTTTTCCACTAGCCTTCTATTCCATCACACATGCTGGCGGGCGGTCGGGGGTGCTCTGGTGGACCCCTCTCACTCTCAGTGCTTCCCCCCTCATCATGCCTGGTGCAGTGTTCGGACTTCCCTCTTCTGGAGGCTGTGAACAATTCCAAGGTAGAGACCAGACTTGTTTTGTTCACTGCTGCATCTCTAGCCCCCAGCACAGACCCTTGCACCTGGTATATGTGCAATAAATACTGACTGACCAGAGGAGAGAAGAGTGGGGTTTAGCCAGGAACTAGGGCACAGAGAGCATTGCAGGCAGAGGGACCAGCAGGTGTAACATCTCTGCATAGAATGATCTGCTATGATGGAGTGACTGCAGGGAGGCAGGCTTGATGAGGAGGGAAGGTGACCAGGGCCTGCTGAGAGGCCTGCGTGGTTGGCAAGGACCAAACCAGATTGACGCACTGAAGCACTGGGCATCTCTGTGTAAACTGTAAAGTACAGTGCCATGCAAGGGGCCACACCCCTTCTACAGCCTCAAGCTAGAGCCTACCCACTCTTCTACTCTGAACCCCATGGCTTCAGACAGCTTGCCGTAAGCCTTCTGGAGAATGACAGGGCTGGTCTGGAATTTCCCACTGAGAGTCTATGATGGGTCAGCTTCCTAGTCGCCGCTCCAAGGGTGAGCTGGTTTGGGATGGGTGTGGCAAATGGGCCATCATTGAACCAGAGCCACCAGCGCCCTGGGTGAGGTACAGGTGGTGCCTCAGATCCCATGTTATGGGAAAGCTCTCACCCAGGGGACTGCTGCCAGTTGTGTGGGTCCAGGCCTCCCTGATACCTACCACTCCTTCCTATAGCTTTGCCCAGGTTGGGTGTCAGAGGAAAGAGGAGGTTTCCAGAAACATAACACGTTGACATCAATAATATCTGTCATTTGTTGGGTGCTTTGGGTCGCAAGATTGTCCTTGTGGTATTCCAGACCTGGCCCAGGACCTTTATATACCATTGGTGGTCAATAAGTGCTTGCTGTCCATAAACCATGGTGAATAATTTGCAGGTATTAAGCAATGAGTTGCTGTTTTACTGACAATGTTTTAAACAAAATAATGCACAAAGAGTTATTTAATCTACCAGCCCAGAGAGACCAGCAACTCTTGTATCTGTATAATCATGGAAGTTGGTACAGTTGTTTCCCACACATTACTGATGAGTAAATTGAGGCTCAGAGAGGGCAGGGTCATAGAGTCAATGAATGGAGCAGTTGGAACTTGAACTTTCTATGTGGATGTCCCTAGTCAGTGTGATCTCTCCCGCCAACTGGGCATTATCTGCTCTGTGCCGGGCATGGATCAGACCATAGTCCCTGCCCTCAGGGTGGGGACAGGCTTGGAGTGTGCCTCCATCAGGGGTTTGTCAGGAAGCCTGTGCTGGAAGAGGTGGAATTTATTTAGGACCTTGATGAGAGGGGTGGTGGGGGTGGGGGTGGGTAAGTGTTGGGAAGCTAGAAATATGGGACAGGCATTCTTGGCTGGCTTACAGCATGAACAAAGGCCCAGAGGGGTGGTTTGAAACTAGCAAACACTTCCACCACTCAATAATGAAACCATCATATTGCCACATCCTCTTGGAGGGCCTCCTGAGAACCTCAGCCTCTGGCCAACCCTCAAAACCAGTGATAGCTCCAGGTAGAAGGCCTCATCTGCGCTTGTAGAGCCAAGACCTGTCCCAGTTGTCACCCCCACCCCACTCCTCTGAGAAAGTGTGTAGGTTCACTGAGGGCTCACATATACTAAGTGTAGGTCACCTGTTTCATCTTACTGAGAGCCTTCTGAGAGAAGCACGATCTTTAGCCCCTATTGCAGATTGGCATACTGAGATTCAGAGAAGCAGCATGCTAGCCGTCACATAGACAAGAAATGGCAGTGTTGGGACTTGAACCCAGGTCTGTGGATCCAAAGTCTGTCTCTTTTATTTTTTTAAAGATTTTTATTTATTTATTCATGAGAGACACAGAGAGAGGGAGAGAAGCAGAGACACAGGCAGAGGGAGACACAGGCTCCATGCAAGAAGTCCGATATGGAACTCGATTCTGGGACTCCAGGATCATGGCCTGGGCTGAAGGCAGGTGCTAAACCACTGAGCCACCCAGGGATCCCAAAAGTCTGTCTCTTTTAAAGCCCTCTGTCATCCCAGGTCCAGAAGAAGTCTAGAACTTCAGTTGAACTCCTAAGGATGAATGTGCTGTGCTTGGAAATACTGAACATTTATAAAGCTCACTTGAAGGAGAAAAAGATGTTTTTTTTCTTCTTCTTATTTCCAAGGTGTAACTATTCCCTCCAACTGTGGCTAGCATCAAGCTACCAATGTGACACCATTGGACTTGGAATTGGAAAGAGATGAACACAGTTAGCACCTACAAGTGGTAAGAGTCAGTCCCAGCACCCACTGGATGACTATCCTGTCCCGGCCCTAGTGTGGCCAGTGAAGCCCATCAGGACTGAGAATAAGGGCTGAGAAACTTGCTCCTCCAGCGGGGGGCCTGCCCAGAATCCCAGGAAACTGTGGTTAATCTTTAAATCAGCCCTGCAAACAAGTGCAGCTATTTTATCAGCCCAGGCTGGTTTCTGGTGCGGCTCTGCAGCCGACTTGCTGTGGGACTTTGAGCATATGCTTCCCCCTCCAGCCTCAGTTTACTGACTATGAGAACTACCATTAACTGGTACCATTAGCTGAGCACAAGCTCAGCCACCCTCACGTTTGTCCGTTCTAACCTTCTCAGGAGTCCTATGGGGCCACGATAACTTCTGTTTTATAGGCAAGGGGATAGGGCTGGGGAACTCAGTGGACTTGTAGGAGATACGGCAGGTGGGCAACTAGTCTAGATTTGAACCCAGATTGGTCTGGCTCTAGGCCTTGCCCATTCCTGGTCTCTTGGAGGCTCTATTGTGCTCTGAGACCTTTGCCTCCTCTCTTCTAGGGTTCACCTCCCAGCTCCTCTTGGGAAGAGAAGCCGAGGCCTGGTGCTGTTTGACCTGGATGGGCCTTAGTTTCCCATCTGTGAAATGGGAGAACTTTCAAAGAAGGAGAGACAAAACAGGGATGGTATTTAAAGCTGGATTCACACTCACCCTTCCCTATGCCATGATTCCAGGAGGACTAGTGAAGAGCCAAAGGTGGGGTGCAGTTTTGGAGCATGGGATAAGATTGTTGGCATAGTGTTTGCAGAAGCCTTTGTGGCCTAAAGCGGCATTTCCTTATTGTCCCCTTTCTTTGCTCTACTCTTTGCCCCCTGCATCCAGATATAATTTGCCTCTTTATTTACTGGGAAGTGTGATTGCCACTAAATACTGGCTTCAGCCCCCTCATAAGCAGGAATATCTAAAACTCAATGACTTCTGATAAGCCGCCTTAGTTACTGTTTTGTTTTTTAAACGCACATTAAAATGAACATATATCAGGGCACCTGGGTGGCTCAATCAGCTAAGTACCTGACTTCAGCTCAGGTCATGATCTTGGGGGCCCTGGGATGGAGCCCTGCCTGCAACTGGCTCCCTGCTGAGCAGTGAGTCTGCTTCTCTCTCTCTCCCTGTGCCCCTCCCCCTCCCCCTGCTCTCTCTCTGAAAATAAATACAATCTAAAAAAATAAAATAAAAAATAAAATGAACATGTATCTATTAAAATAAATGTTGCTCTTCCCTACACTGTTCCTCCTGCCCCCCCCCCCCCCTTGCTTTGGGAAACTCAAGTCAAGGCCAGGGTCCAAGGCCTGGTTCTCCTCAGGTGACTTCCTTCTCTGTGCCTCAGTTTTTCACCTGTAAAATGGGGATAATCATCAGCCCGCCCAGCCTAGGTGTTGCTAGGAATAGATCCTAAAAGCCGACCTGAGCCATTGGCATGGTGCCTGGGAAAGAGCAAAGGCTCCGTTAGCGCTGACATTATTATTCTTATTACCGGTAATTGAGGAAGAGGTGGATTTGGGGTCAGTAGGATGGGTGCTTGGGGCCGGTTAGGGAGGGCATTTTGGCTGGAGGGTACTGAGGGGTCCCACAGGGTGGGGCGCTCTCACGGGTCGGGGTGGGGGCAGGGTTTCTGTGTCTCCGCCCCCGGCCTGCCCCTCCCGCACCTCCGGCTCCCGCGGGGTGGGGGTCCCGCGTGTGGTCTCTCCTGGGTCACCCGCGGGGAGCCGGTCCCCGCACGCTTCCTCCTTCCTCCTCCTCCCGGCGGCCGGCCGGGCCCCTCCTCCCTGCTCGCGCGCTCCCTCCCTCCTCTTCCCCTCCCCGGGCCGCCTCCTCCTCCTCCTCCTCCTCCCTTTCTCTCCCGATCTGTCTCTCCCGGCCCGGAATCCATTCCGGCCCGGGAGCCGGAGCGGCCAGGCCGCCGAGTGCCCGACCCCGGCCGTCCCGCCGTCCGCCCTCCCGCGCGTCCGTCTGCCGGTGCGCCCGCCGCCGACCGGCCCAGGTGAGCGCCCCCGCCCCTCCGCGGGCCCCGGTCCCGGCCGGCTCGGGGGAGCCCCCGCCCCGACCCCCGCGGCGTCCGAGGCCCGGGCGGCGGGGGGCTCGGGGCCCCGCTCCGGCCTCCCCCGGGTCCGAGGCGCGATCCCGGAGCGCTGGGCGGGCGCACGGGGACCTGCCCGGCGCGGCCTTTTGTTGTGATGCCTTGGGGGGGAGGGGGCGGGCGGGGGCTCGGGGTCCGGCCCGCGCGGGCCCCGCCGCCGGCTCACCCTTCCCCAGGAGCCCCCGAGAGCAGGAGCCCGGCCGAGCCCCCGGGCCAGGTCTAGGCCAAATCTGAAATCTGAGCCTGTCGGCGCCGCCTCTGGCCGCGGCTGCCGGGCCTGGCGCCCCCGGCCGGGATGGGAGGTGGAGAGGGGGCGGGCAGGGTGGGCCTGGGGGCGCCGAGCCAGGGGCGCGGGGCGCGGGCCCCAGGACCACCCTGCCCTCCTGGAGCTTGGGGTAGGGCCTGGTGCCGCGGGTCTGGAAGGGACTGGGCCACACTGTCGGTCCACTGTCCCCAGCCCCCAGCCTCGCCCCTGGCAGGCCCAGCCGCCTGCCTGCTCAGAAGTTGGCAAAAGTTTTGGGTTTTCTCCACCAGGCTGGGTCCATCTCCCTGTCTGGGCTTCGGTTGGGGGTGAGCTTAGGTGCCCACAGGGGCTGCCGCTTGCCCAGCTTTGTGTGGTCAGGCAACTGCCTACCCTCTCTGATCTGGGGGTCCTGATCAGTGGCAGGTGGGTCTGTCTGGGACTGCTGGGCTGGTGGAAGGATGACGGTGAACAGAAGAGGCTCACCTATGGGGTATCAGTTCTGCCTCTGGGGCCTTCAGGCTCACTGGCCTGTGGGCAGAACAAGTGAGGCTTGTCAAGTGGGGCTTCCTGAGCTTCAGGACCTCTACAGTTGGGGCAGGGGTCCCTGGGTTACCTGGGATGAGTCCAGGCCCAGCCACAGTGCTGCTGAGATCAGACTTGGTTTCGGGCATAGGCCAGGCCAGTCCTGTTACTGCCCCTCTTGTCAGCCTCCTGGCTGGACAGACAAGACTTCTTGTCTCCCTGGGTGACCTGGGCCAAGGGACTGCCCCTCTGAGCACCCACATGTGGCATGGGGGAAGAATATATGCACTTCTACGTGTAGGAGCTCGGTGTGTAGTAGGTGCTCAATAAATGAGCGCTTCACTGGATGAGTTGCCTAAAATGGGCGGGGGCTGAGGGTGCTGGTCCCAGTGGGGCTTGTGTCCAGAAGAGGATGGATTGGTGTCCGAAAAGCCACCGGAGAGCCCCTTGAGAAACAACTCCAGCACCATCCTGCCACCCAGCAGCTGTGTGACCTCGAGCAACTCGCTGCTTCCTTGGGCCTCAGTCTTATTAAGTATAAAATAGGCCAAATGGAGAAACTGAGGCTCAGAGAGGGGAAAGGACTTGACCAAGCCCACACAGTTTGAAGCTGGAATGAGAACGTACACTTCAGAGACCCCAGTCTGGCTGCCCTTGACCCCTCCAGTGTGGGGGGAGCAGGGGTTTCCCAGTATGGGACCAGGCATCAACGGTGTTAGAACAGACCATACAGATTGATGAGTGATTGCATGGAAGCCACGAGGTCCTTCTGGGGATGTGGTGATGTGGTGTGCCTCGGTGATGTGGTCTTTCCACCTAGGGAAGTGATTTACAGTGTGTCACCTCTCTCAGCTGACTGCCTGCCTAAGCCCTCCTGTGTGGCTCTTGGGCTTTTTTCTTCCTGAAGGTGTCCCTGCCAGGACTGCCCTCTCCTCTGTGAGCTGTTTATCTGTTCTTACTCTTGAAGACTTAGCTTCAGGCCCACCTCTTCCAGGAAGGCTCCCCAGCTCTGCCTCCCCTCCCCAGCCTCTTCCTGGAGCATGAACTCTCCCCAGCTCACAGCACAGTGCCTGCTGTGGCTTCTTCCCTGATTGTGACCTGGCGGGTGGGGGGGGGGGGATGTCTGGCTCCCACGAGCCCCAGGAGCCAGGGAGGACATGGCTCAGTGACCTGTTGACAACACTCCCCAACCCCCTGGTCCTCGTTGGTCCCATTTTCCAAACCTGCCCAGATGCAAACATCCATGACCCTGTGTGAGCCTCTGCTATATGCTAGGAGCTTCAAACTCAGGCTGAGCAGTGTGGCGAAGGGGTTAGTAGTGGGAGTTGGAGGCATCAGGGGGCTTCAAAGAGGTGAGGAGGGCAAGAAGTTTGCTCAACCAAGAGGGAGGGAGGGTGCTCTTTCTTCTATTCGGACACTTCCCAGGGTTTCTGGGATTGTGGAGGTGGTCATCCTGCTGCAGAATTGTGAACAGATCCCTGGCCTCCTAGATATTTGAGTCTAGAGGGTGAGCCAAATAGCAAACAAGTTACCAAATAAATTAATATATAATCACAGATGCGATAAGGGCTCAGAGAGAGAGGCGTGGGGTGCAGAGGAATTTTGAAGGAAGTATGTAGGAGTTGGCCAAGCATGGAGCTGGGGAAGGGCTTGTCAGGCAGAGAGAAATACCTGTGCAAAGGCCCTGAGGTGGGAAGTATGTGTTGTTATAGAGAAACGATGGGAAAGCCTCTGAATTCGGAGCACAGAGAATTAAGGAGAGTGGGTGAGAGGTGAAGTAGGGGGTGTTTTGGGGGGTAATCACTCATATGGCTGGACCATATGGAGCTGTGTGGGCCTTGGAGATGAGTTTGACCTTCATCTTCACACAAGGGACTAATCAGCGTACCCTGTGTGAGCAGCCCCATGCTGGAGGCCAGGGATACAGAGCTGTTCAAGGCACTTGGTAGAAATAGATCTGTGGGCTGGACTCCAAGTATTCTGTGGGGGCCTAGATCAGGAGTCAAGAGGAGGAGGCATTTGAGGCTGGGCTTTGAAAGTGGAGTAGGAGTTCACTGGCAGGAAGGCAGGAGAGGGTGGGAGCCAGCAGTTGGGGTGGCTGGAGGCTGGGTGTGTGTGTGTGTGGGGGGGGGGTGGGCAGGCAGGGGACAGCTGGAGACCAAAGGTATGACAGGGTTATGATAAGGGCTCAGGAGTCAAACAGGTCTGTGTTTGAGTTCTGACTGTCTCCACCTGTTGTGTATCTTTGGGTCATTCACTGTATCTTTCTGAGACTTCACTTTCTTTGTCTTGAAAACAAGGACAATACGTATCTCCCTATCAGGTAGCAGCCAAAGGAGGCCTACATGGCCCCCACGCCTGGTGCCGATAGGTGCTTAGGGAAGGTGACCTGCCTCAAGTGGTGTTACACTAGGTAGCCCCTGGACCCGGTGGGTCTGGCCTCATCAGCTGTGTTTGGAAGGCTTTAAGTGGATGAACTCATGGAGTCCGAAGTTGCTGGCCTGGGCAGGAGTGGCCTAGGAAAGGATGTTGGCAGACAAGGCCACCCCTGTGCCGGGTGATTTGAATCCTGCTCTGCCCTTGCTGTGTGAGGAGGCTGGACTGGAGAGAGTGCTGTTAGTCTAGTTCAGCCCAACTTCTTGAGAGCATACCTTAGGTGAGATTGGTCCATTTTCCAGATGTAAATACTAAGACCCAGAGAGGAGAAGCCACTTCCTGCCTGGATCGTGTGGCTCCCGGCACCTCTATCTCCCCTTGGGTCCTTTACTCCCCCACCACTGCTCTAACCCCTTATCTCTACAGTAAACCACTCTGGTTTCCACTCAAGCCAGTTAGCGGGGAGGGGAGGGGAGGGTACTTCCTCTGGGGTACCTCAGTTTCCTCATCTGTGAAGTGGGATAATATGAGTCATGGCTACTAGGGTGCCCTGAGAGGACTGAAATAAAGCATTTAGCACTCATTAACTAGATAAATAGGGGTGGGGAAGAACCAGGTACAGCTTAAATCCTTCATCCTCTGGCAGCAGACACCCCCTTCCTGTGAATCAGTTCCTGTAGCTGTAAATGGGCATGGGGTTTTACCCTTAGTGAGGCCAAGGGGAGAGTGGGATGAGCTGGTCCCTGCCTTTACCTGGGCGCTGGCTCGGCATCATGGTTCTTGGAAATGTAGGCCCAGCAGGTCCTTCCCCTGTGTTCAAGGCCTGGTTCCCACCGTCTGTCCAAAGGAAACTCAAACCTCTGCATACCTCCCTTGTGGAGATTAGATTTGCTTATTTCTCCCAGTGGCTTGAGTCTACTGGACAGTCAGTAAATGTGACATCTTTCTCCCCTCCCTTCCCTCTCGGGGGCTCAGATATCATCCCGTTTTAAGATGGCCCAGGCCTGCGCTGCTGTGTCGAGAAGCGTTCTGAGGTCCAGGCTTGGCTTCCTGGGAAGGAGCGCTGTGAGAGATGAGTAATGTCTGCCATTGGCAGAGGATTAGAGCATGTTGTCCATGTGCTGTGCGTTTGTCATTCCCGATCCATTCTGACCTTCTCTTTTCACAGATGGGGGAATTGAGGCCAGAAAGACCCGGGACATATTATCCAAGCTAGGAGAAAAATGCACATCTCTAGTCTTTTGATCCAAGGCTCTCCCAACTCAGCCAGCCTGCCCCTTCCCACTGGACAGCCTGGGTGGGGCCGAGTGAAGGGAGAGGTGGATGGGAAGGACCCCAGAGCCCACAGCCAGGAGCAAAGCCCTGGCTATAGGACCTTGAGCAAGGGACCCTCTTCTTTTTTTTTTTTTTTTTTTAATTTTTATTTATTTATGATAGTCACACGGGGGGGCGGGGGGCAGAGACATAGGCAGAGGGAGAAGCAGGCTCCATGCACCGGGAGCCCGACGTGGGATTCGATCCCGGGTCTCCAGGATCGCGCCCTGGGCCAAAGGCAGGCGCCAAACCCAAGGGACCCTCTTCTACCCTGGGCCTAAGCTCCTCTCTTCCCAACACAATGACCCGGAGGAGTTCCAGAATAAAATGAGAAGCCTCTCCTGCGGGAGTTGTCCAGGGCAGGCCTGGCTGTTGAGCCCACGTGGGGCCGTTAGAAACTGTGGCAATGAGTCCTCCAAGCAGCCTGCAGGCAGACTCCTGGTGCCGT